ACAATGGCAGCATGTCATCCGGCCTGCAGAGAAGCTGTTTGGCTGCAGTCCTCCATCTCTCCAGGATGTGTACGCCTCCAGGACTCTGAGGCTTGCAGGGAAGATTGCGGCTGACCCCTCGCACCCCAACCACAAACTATTTCAGTCACTTCCCCCTGGCAGGAGGCTGTGGTCCATCAGGACCAAAACCTCACGCCACAAGAACAGTTTCTTCCCATCCGCTACCAGCCTTATCAACCAGGCCCAGGGACCCCCGTGACACTGCCTCTCTCCCTCCCCCATTCAGGACCTAGAAGCTACACGAACGTAGCATCTCCAGACCTCCTGTGTTACATTAAAGGCTGGTTTATGCTCAGAAACCAGGTCGTCTGCGTGTGTGTTGCAGTCAATACAGATATGCCCCGCCCCCTTCCGTAGACACTCTGGTGCACCTCTCTTAAATTGTAGGTGACTGTAGACAGTGCCGCAGACAGGAGGCTTCCTATTGGTCAAATCTACATCCGCTCTACTCTATGCGTATTTCCTATTTGGTTCCTTACCGGCTTGTTTTGTTTCTATGACCGCCATTGTGGAAAACGACTCGTTAAGATGGACCACCTAGAAGAGCGAGGTCGCCCTCATGTCCCTCCATTGTTGCACAAACTTCCCTTTTGCGTTGTAGTGTGGAATAAAATAAAATAGCGCAGACCACACTTCAATATTGGGCATAAATCCTAAATATCTGCGTCATACCTGCGACAAGCTAACTGCGACACACTGCTGCGGGAGTATAACCAGCCCTTAACACACAGTCAACTTAGTACATAGCTATATACTATATATTGCATATGGTATATTGTATTTTCTATATTGTATATAGAGATAGATTCTGTATTTTGTATATCTAATTTGTCCGCACCATCTACAGCAAGTCAAATTCCTTGTGAGTGCAAACCTACTTTTCAATAAAGTTACGGTACGAAAAAGCAGTATATATATACATATATGCTTTATTGTGCCATACTAACCCCAAAAAAGTAGTACTTTTCATATTTTTGGCGATTTAAAAAACGAATATCAGGAAAACCATGCATGATTCTCATGCACATTTGTAATGAAGTGTAGGATAATATTTAAAGGAGGTTTATGGCTGCAGAAAATATGAGAAAATGTTAAATCAGAGGCACCTTGTATCCAGAGTAATAGTTTATGCTGCAGCATCACTGGAGCCAAAGCAGCTATAGCAAGAGTCCTGGTCATCACTGACCGCGCAATAAGGGGAAGAGGTCTCTTCCTTCTAATTTTAGTTTTCCATAATGTCTCTTCGTCTTTGTTTCTAGTTTGGCCTGAAAATCTGTCATACAGGCTGAATCAGTTGTGAAATATTCTGACCTTTTAGAGGATTTAAAACATCACAGATTTCATCATTGATCCTAATCATCATCATCATCATCCTCATCATTCTACTGAGGGAGCACGATTTCACAACACGCACTGACGAAGCATTAGCATCTCTAAATGTCACAGGCACGCTATGATGTCTGCAGCAGCAACACAAATCTTTGAAAGTTTTTTTAGTCATGGTTAAGCGTTAAGGTTGGTTGAATTTCATTTGGATTCTGGGTGCAGAAATCGTACATGGCTTAAAGTATTTCCTTATATAAATATCCAAACGTAGAAACTAATATGGGGGATTTTTAGTGGTGATTCCAACCCTTCCATTGCTATTTTCCTTTCCCTGCTGAAGAAAGTGTTTCCCACAGCATAATCCTGCCACCGCCGTGTTTCACAGCAGATTTGACTTTTTTTTTTTCCACGTCTTTCCAAGCCCAGAGTTACAGAGTTACATATGAGCCCCTTTCCCAGTAAGATTGAAATCAACTGGAGTTTGTCAGGCTTCAGTTTTTTTTTAATTCCTCTGAATATTTATGTATTTATGGTTCCTTTATCAGCAAATATGTGGATCTCTGCAGCTTTTTCAGGGTGAGCATTCGTCTCTTGTCTGCCTCTCCTTAACCTGCCCCTCGGTTTAGGGCTCTGTTCACGTCCTGGTCAGGGTGTATATCTAGCCACTATCATTCAACGTGTAAACTAAATGTGTTCATTCTAATAATAAAAGGTCAGGACTGCACAGTTCAGTTCAATTACATAGCGTCAATTCATA